GTTCGCCCTCCCTGCCATGGTACCGAAGGTCCATTCATCTCCTTGATTGCCACCACACCGGCGAGTGTCCATAAATCTGCGTATGTGATCCAAGGGTGTTTCGCTTTGACGGGCTCGAGGAAGACCCGCGCATGTTGGAGACCTGCGTTCGCCGGATCGCCACCTTCGGCTTCGTATCGCATGCCGGCCCCATTCGATCCTCCAGTATCTGTCTCTGCATCATATGTCCCCGAGGAGTGCCTGCATGATGTTAGATGGTGAGGCGCATTGGGGGCAAGCAGACCAACCATGCGAGGCGCACAAGCACTGGGCCAGCGCTTCCATCATCGTATTCTGGTTGGTGTAGTAGCTTCGCGATATCCTTTCGGACAGCCTCAAAATCCCCTACTTTGCTCATCGTGGATCTTTGTGTAATAAGGAAGTCTAAGTAGCAAGATATTCTAGCAAACGAAACATGCGTTGTCTATGAGAAAGAGTTTAACGAAAGATAACGAGTAGATATGACGCGATTGACGAGATAGTGGAATTTATACTTCACTCGAGAAAGATACGAACCACTATTAATTTGCTCAGCACATGTACACCAGCCGAGGCTTCCCGGCAAGCCTAATCTCATGCTGGCTACGTTCCTGCTTCCCACCTTGCTGGCCGCGCGCGAAACTGTAATTTCCTGGGGCGGACTGTGGGTCCATGATGATTCATGTGAAGTTTTTGATATCGAATTTATCTGGGCTGCGCTAAAGAAGTTGCGCTTATGAAAGCCGAGGCCGGCACTTGGCAGTCTGCCGAGTTTCGGGCGACACTAATTGGCTGGCTTTGTTTTGGGTTGGATTCGAAGGGTGATTTGCTTGTGAGTTTGTCTCCGTATGGTCCTACTAGTGGGGAAAAAGCGCTTCAGAGGCAGGCGAATATATGTTTGAAATACCTCGTATACAGGGTTTGTCATGTTTGAATCGATCCCCACTGAATAAAGCACTCCCGCAACGCTATGACATCGTAACACCAGGTTTTACAGTAGGTAAACGTGCATAATGAATATTGTTGGGTTCTATATTTACTCTACTGCTCGTGGAAAATTTCCTACTGTTAAATCCATTTTTTCTCCTCCAAGTTCCTCTAGTATTTTCAAAAATAAACGCCGAGAGAAAAGAGACGGAAAGACGACTAGAAAGCATAAGGGATACAAAAGTGTAGAAAATACAGTAAAAGAGCTCTACCAAGAGAAAGAAGTCATAGTTCTAGAAACTATAAAGGAGAGCTAGCTTACATATTCTCATCTAGAACACGTTAGGAATCTCATTTGTCACTCTACTTACCAAAATAATTATCTGATAGCATCATTTTCATCTCAGTATATCCTTGATTACCAATAAAGAATTATTAGGGATTTACAAAATCTGATAATACTCATTATGAACATTTACCTACTATAAACCCTTGTTTAACGATATGTTGGTATTGCGTGATTGCCCTCCAAGGTGGGAGCGATTTCAGACTTGACAAACCCTATATGCAAGGTATTTCAAACATTCCATCTTCAGAGGCTCGCCCTCTAATTTTATGTTTATCACACTTCTACCTATTTTCTCGACCCATCAGCCTGCTGATCAGAGCGCTGCTATTCAAGCGCCAAATGTTGGAAGAAACATTAGTAGCTCCACTTTCGACAATGTTTATTGTGAGGGTTTTATAGTCAGACTTTGAGATCTACTTCTCCCCTATATCAGTTTTGAGCGCTTTCGAAAGCTCGGGAAAATGGCCACTACTCTGTAGCAAACTTCATCCTACATGAAGATACTCCTATGTGTTGCCACAAGCAGCTTTACAGAAAGTCGACTTTTTTCCTTTTTGGACCAAACCTTGAATCTTATGGCAGTCTGAGCTCTTCGGCCTAGATGCAAAACATGACGAATGGGAGAAACTTGTCGTCAAATTTATTACTGCTGTAAGCGTTTGCATAGTCCATTTTTGCATGATCGACTTATCCTGTTGAGAAATGCAGAGGCAGTCGAGTATGATTTGATCCTGGTGACGGTTTCTCGAAGTGAAATATAAACATGGTTATGGTTATGGCAAGGCCTAGCTGTTTCCCGACCAAAAAATAAGGAATGGACCAAAGCTATCGTCGCACATACTTTACATTCCTTACGTATAAATTCCCAAAAGAGCACGTACTTTTGCACCCCGCTTCGTTACAGCTATACCACTAAACTTACATAAATACTTAAAACTCATTTTTTGGCCTTCCTACTATTAGGTGTTGCATTTGGCATGACTTGGAAGTCAACATTATTGTTAGACAGAAGGAGTAGGCGAAATGATTAGGCGAAAACGACTAGGCAGAATGGTTAGGCAGTATCGGTGGCAGTGATTGTTACAAAATGCGTAGTTTTTGCTGCGCCATAGCATGCCTTGTAATTTCTTTCTTCAACAAGTTCTCTACATATTCAATGGCATGCGGTCTTCTTTCCATCGCCCCAAGAGGCTATACCCAATTCAAGAACACCATAGACTGCCAATTTTACTGAACCACGTCAATGCAAGATGCCCCCGCAAGTACGACACTTCCTGCCGATAACATTCACCAGCTTATGACTGTTAACAATGCCTTACTTGATGTCATGATCGATATCAAACAGCTACTAGAAAACGAGAGACAGGTTGCATATCCGGGGAACTTGCCAGCTACCGGAAGAACAAGTTTCGCCATAGATCGTCTTGATGTTTGGTACTTCCCTCGTATTTGCGGCGGCCATATCGTTTGGACCTTGGACCCCGAAGAGCATCTTGAGTTTGATAGGACCACTGAAAGCCTTAAGTTCATGCGGTCTAACCTTACCGATGATAGGTTAGTTGGAAATCCTTGAGATTGTATAAGTGCAGTTTGCTGAAACCTCAGAAGCCACGGCCAGCCAATGCCAGACGAAATTTCTCGGACATTCGCTATATTGATGTGTCGACCACAGTCCCGTCGAAGGCTAGAATACTTCTCGTCCCAGCGTAGAGCCGATGGCTGACGATACCATTGACGACCGCTGCGTTGCTTTTGCTCGACAGAACCGTAAATTGCTCAGGGACTAGACCGATCTGGAAGTGCCAGACTGCGCCCGTGACTTCTCTAAGAAGACATACACCACAGTTTGGGATCTGATTCGAGTCAAGCAAGCTGGGTCACTGACAGTATGTATCAGCACACATCTGGGCTATTATATCGTACTCTCCTGCTGCGAAAGAGAAACTAGAGGACTTTCCACAATACGGCGAAAGGCTTGTAGAACTTATCGGAATTTCTCGACAGCCACCCGGCAGCCGTATGTAAATATAAATTCAACTTACTCTGTACGAGCTAACACTTCTAGCTTTCTACTTTGTGGTGTGATAGGAGTGATCCAATGCAGTGGTATAGCTTTTGGCTGAAATTTTGGAATTATTCTCTGCTGCTATTAGGTCTATTCTTCGCTTTAGGGAACCTGTCCCTCGGTGCAGTTACAGACTTGGGTAGCTTTGAAGGCTTTGTGGATCGCGGAGGCTCAGGCTTCCTCTTCCACGTACCATCTTTCATGAATATAAAAGAACTTATGCGGCTAGGGGGTGGTTTAATGAGGAAGCACACTGGACATGTACTCCTCTATGTGTCAATGATGACGTGAAGTGTGGTAGCATATTAAAAATCCTTAGCCACGAAAGAGTGACATGGAAGGAAGGCGGATACCTTGCTGATAACAAATGTTATCAGCACAACCTGTCTATCTAATAATCACAAACGTGAAATTAAGGCCTGAGTATGATGGCCGATATGGTACCTTCCGCACTGTTTCATGGTAAGATTATCACTCGCTTCGATCAGAGATGTTGTGTGGAGCCTCAGGTGGGTCTCGCAAACTCCTCTGTTTTTGGCACTCTCTATGGCTACTTGTATGCATGGTCCAGTATTGGTATCCTGAAGGTCCTCCTTCTCTTACTCCAATCTTTTGTGGCCTTGAAGGCACACTTGGAACGACATAAAGCCCCAGGCAGTATATGCGCAAAGATAGGGTAGGTAGGGAGGCCAAGCGTGATCTTTCTAGTCTACTACAAAGGAAACAAGAAGGCGAAGAGTGAAAAGTAAGATAAAGGACTTCTTTCATATATAGCTCTAGTACTAGCCTGCCATCAACCCGTTTTAAGTAGCGCTATATCGAATCAGATTCGCTGAGCTCCTTGGCTGGATAATTCTGCATATGACCTGTCGTCATGTATAGGCTCGTATAAAGCTCGTATAAAGCTTTTTTTCTTCTTTTCTTCATGCTAGACTAAATAGACTACCTTTTGCTTCCTTAAAATACCTATTACTACTGTACTTGAATCGCGTTTGGCCTTCTGCCGCCTTCAACATCCCCAGCTATATCGACTTGCATGGCGATCATACATAAATCTGCATATCACATATCTAGCCATCATAAGGCTATTGATATTTTCCACTATAAATTATCAAGGCCAAAGAACTCGGCCAAGACTATTTCGTGTAGTTAAAAGAGGTAGTGCAAGCTTATTGGTACCGCTACAACAAGTCAACCACGCTATGAAATGAGATACTCTATCAATCAGGCGTAGTAGGGACGTCGTAAGTGTGATTTTCTGAGTAGAGATATGATATATACAAAGACGTCTCAGGTAAAGAATTCAGATAAAGAACTTGTCGTAATTTAGCATATTGCAAATACCTATAAGGTGGGTATAAAATAATCATCGTAGCAGAATTCTTTGCTCACGAACAAAGAGCTAGCAAGTAAAGGATTGAAAGAAAAACGAGGCGCATATAGTAATTATTCGTAATATGTTATTCCACATGTATAACATTCTAGCGGACAAATACTTTATAACAAAGAACTAATTTGACGAATAAAGAAGGGTCGATAAGCACAGGATTGACAAAAAATTAAAAGATACTTATAACTTCTTAATCTAGTAGTGAGGCATGGATAATTCCATCCAAAAGCAAAAAATTCACGATCTATTGTCGACGCCTGTGTGATTCGAACACACGCTCCCGAGGGAAACTAAATGTCTGTTAGAAAGACCTCACGGATCTCAACTGACAAGGATTTAACTCACTGGCTGAATGCTTCTTTGTTGATAGCAGGCCATCGCGTTAACCACTCCGCCAAAGCGCCATACACACTATGATATATATGATTGATGACGAGACCAGTTGATATTATGATATATATTGCAGAACCTCTTTAGCTGACGCGGTTCTTGGTGGGCTGCGGGTCCAAAGAGGGGTAAATTTAGGCGAGATCTGGGTGCTAGCTTGAGCGAGATCTCTGCAACCTGGAAGCCGTAGCTCGACTACCCGGCGTGTAAAGGTTCTCAGGCTTCCATACTATTTGATAATTAAGCAGGAGAAGGATCAGATAATGCATCGTGCTAATATTTCGCTGGGAATTCAAAGTGACCGACGTCTAACTTGTGATGACAGGTTATCTGTTTGCGTCAAGAGGACTGTGTCAGAACATTGCCCTCTGAATTCATGCTTAGAAAGGCCAATCACTAATCCTCCGTAAAGAGAGTATGGCTCCCGAGATCTAGTGCTCCTGATGACCAGGTTCCATCGAGGCTGAGGAATTCGTCTCCGGCGAAGCGACTTTGCAAGCTGGTTAGAAATTCGTCACCTCAGGATATAACTTGCAGTTAAGTCATTAAAAGCTTATGTGACCTTGAGTTATTACATGTACATTGTCGTGAGAATTATCTATGACATTAAAATCGAGGTTCGATAGTCAATATACTTCATCGTGCGTGCCGATTAGCAGGTTTGCATTTCGCCGAAGACGAATTTCCTCCGCCTCGCATATTGCCCTTGCGCTTTCCACGGCTCCTCTGAAGCATCTTCTGGCCTGGTCTGCCTCCATATACTTATAACCTTCCGTTGCCTTGCTTGATAACATTAACAAAAACACATTCCCTTTCCAAGAAATTCCCACCTTCCACAGAACCCATATATCATCCTCCTACTCCTCCTTCGTGATCGCAGTCTCTAGAAACCACTCAATTACATCCATCCACAAGCACAAAATAGATCGCCACGTTTATAGCCCACCAACCAGCCATAAAACCCACCACCTTTTCCTCACCAGCCAGTACCTCAACATTCTCGCAGCGCACAAGAAGCGATGCACAACACACTCCAGCCTGTCCATCACGCACGCAATCTCCTCTTTCGCGCAATCAAAAGATCGAGAAACCAAACTCTTCTCTTCCCTTCGCTTTACAATCACTATACTATAACTATATATTTTGTATCTCGACGGCTAAAGCCTTAAAATACTCAGTATATCAGAATCCGTGACGGGGGGGCGGGGTTTGCACGTCCCTTGGGGTCATTAATACCTCTGCAGGAGAAAAGAGGCATTACGTCCAAAAATGCGCGTCTAGAAAAGAGATGCGGCACACGCTGGATTATCAGATGCAGCTATCTATCTATAGGCGATGGTCTTCGGATCTGGTGAATCGCTTTTCGAAGGTATGATACGCGAGACTCGCGAGGGAGTCGGTCTTCGCGGAATCATCTGCTGGGTGAAGGCTTGTGGCATAGCGAGATGTTGCACGGATGTTAATGATTAGTATGAGAAGTGAGAAAGGGTGTCAGTATCATGTTCAAGGAGTGAATGAGATGGAGCTTCCGGAAAATGTGAAGTGGATACCGGAGGATGGCGAGGTGAGGAGTTTTAGACTTGTTAGTACGTACGGGTAAGGTGCTGAAGGGGTTAGGAGGGGTGTATTTAAACCACAGGCGGTGATGTGTGGATTGCGCATATCGTCAGGCATGGTTCAATCAAAGTGGAGAATGAACCAAATCATCAAGGAAATGTGCGCGTCCCCATGATAGACTAGATGTTTTTGAAGTTTGAACGGCTGCCGTGTTGAGTTGTAATATCAAAGCTCATTGGATTATCGAGTGCCTTCAAACCCTCATCATAATAAGACAACTAGCTAATCCTATACTCCTCCATCTTTCTTCCTCCCTATCCATCCATGAAAGTCATCCTGCAATGAACTCCTCTAGTAATTGTTGTTATCATTTCCCGCAGCATCACGCTTCGCAGATCCCTTCTCCTGCAAGCTGTCACTGTTGAAAATACCGCCAACCTTCTCCATAAACTTGCCGGCGGTCGAGTCGCCAGATTTGGAGTTATTGTTGTCGGAGTTGGAAGATCCGTAGTTGTCTGAAGAGTCCTTGTTTCCGCTGCCGTAGGAGTCAGTGTTGGAAGAGCCGTAATTGTCAGAGCTGGACTTCTTGTCGCTTCCGTAAGTGTCCGTGTTGGAGGATCCGTAGCTGTCAGAGCTAGATTTCTTGTCGCTTCCGTAGGAATCATTGTTGGAAGATCCGTAGTTGTCAGAGCTGGACTTCTTGTCGCTCCCGTAGGAGTCGTTGTTGGAAGATTCATAGTTGTCGGAGCTCGATTTCTTGTCGCTTCCGTAGGAATCGTTGTTGGAAGATCCGTAGTTGTCAGAGCTCGACTTCTTGTCGCTACCATAAGAATCGTTGTTAGAAGATCCATAGTTATCCGAAGATGACTTGTTGCCGCTTCCATAGCTGTCAGATGAGGAGTTGTTGTCGTTTGAGCCGAAGCCTGAGCCTCCAGTACGGTTTGATGAGCCGTAGGAATCGGAACCACTGTTACCGGACTGTAGAGGAAAACGTTAGCTACTAGGATCTAATATTGTATCTGAAACTTCTGGCTCGGGGAGGGAAATATTGAGACTGATGAACCAGAACGTGAGCACGACTTGTGCTGAAGCAATCTTCATCTGTATGTATTACATACGAGAGATCAGAGGAAAGAGAGAGAGAGATAGAATTGTTATCCGAAAGGAAAGAGCAACACAGCACAGCATGATTGGTGGGTATCCATCGGAAGTAAGATTACACCGTAGCTATAGTATCCTTTACTGAAGGGCGTGAAAAAGAAAACGGTGTAGAACGAAAACTGATGCTACAACAGCGTAGCTGTATTTGCTCGGGGGTATCTTACTCCGTAGGAATCGTTGTTTCCAGAGCTCGAATCCCGGTTTCCGCTGCCGTATGAGCCCTAAGAAGAGTGTTAGGGAAGGTGGGAACTGGCTATTGGCACATGACATGTTGGGCACTTACGGAGTTGTTGTTGTCGTTGTCGTAGCTAGACATGATTGCTGATTTATATCTTGTTTGAGGTAATTGGTTTGGTTTGGGATGAGGGATGAAGAAGATAATCTGATGTTGAGAGGGTGCTTGTGTCTACATCAAGGAGGGGATAATGTTATATATCAGTTGGGAGAAGCCCCATGATACCATTTCATACCCCTCTTTCGTTCTACACAACTCACAGCTATGCGGTACCCCTCTACGAGCTGACAACAGCTACCAGGTAGTAGTAGCTGTGATGTCCTTCCCGTTGGTAGATCCAACATGGCATATCCTAGCCCAGAAGTCCCTGTCCTGCTCAACTCGAACTTTAGGATATTGACCTTGCTGGATGGACATTGCCCGGCGCAGAGAACCGTTGCGTCATCTGTACCCATGCATGTACTTGGTACAGTAAACTCCAGCTTCCCTCTTCCACATGGCTTTAAGCTTCATGATCGATCCAATTGGGCCGGCCAGAAGAACATCCATTACATTGGGGCTCGGCGTCTTTCAGAAGCTGATGCAGCCGGTGGTGAAAGTAACATCGCCTAAAGAGCAAGGCAAGGCAACGCACCTGAGGTGCCCTACCAGCTGTAGCACCCACGGCGCTCGGGAACAACCAAACAGGGAAGGTCTTGAATCTTGAATCTTGAATCTTGAATCTGGAATCGAGATATACTTCGGTATGAAGTCCGCGCAGGCGGGTAGTCAGGTAGTAGACAGGAAAAGTGGAGCGACTCATCCATGTGCAAATTCGACCCCGCACTACAATATAAGTATTACGCCGTAAAACGCGGGCCTGGCCATGGATTGGAGGGCTCGAGGAGGGAGAGAGGGTCCTGGATAAATCCCGCAGAAGGTTTCTAGCCCGCTATTATTCAGCTTGCTTGGTTCCTTCCTTCCTTCCTTTGACATGGATGACATGGATGACAAGCAATTAATCTAGGTCCGTACTGTACTGTACTGTAGCTGACTTTCGAGATTTGCTGCCCTCATCTGTTTGACATGGCCGATGAAACTTGCCGTTTCTCATTTCTCGCAGCACAGCCTTTTGGAACCCGCATCCTGCATCAGCTCGTCGTCCATGTACTTACTTACTGCACACTTACTGTAGCAAGCACATGGGTACAACAGGTACAGATAGGCAAACCTGCCTTCTTGCCATGGACTTCCCTACTTGCATGATTTACTATGTACTATGTACAAAAGATCGAAGCATGCCCTAGCATAGTCGTGCGTAAAGTGCGTGCTCGAAAGCTGAACAATCATTCGATCGCTGCATCTGTACTTATATTGGCCCCTCCCCCCCCATGGGAATGCAATGTTTGTTCACTCGTCATGATCGGCCTGTCCGTCAGCTCAACCCAGATCGAATCGTGGCACAGCGCACGCAGCAAGCACAATGTGGCTCAAACATTGACCAATGGCGTATTGCGAAATCAGTCTATAAGCTTTCCTCGTCTGCCCCCCACTGATCGCATGTGAGAGGAGGCAGCTGAACGCATTTGGTACGAGCTTTATTTCCTATTCTTGTTTCTATGGGCCGATGCTGCCGCATTAAATTCTGAGCCGGACGTGCGCGAGCTCTATCTCTCCTTGAGATTCATCTCCGCACCCCATCGCTAACTCTATCTGATCATACAAAGATACATAAGCCAGTTGGGATACTTCCGTTCTCCACAAATCCTGCCCAGCCATGAACGCCCTTCTACCAAAGAATCACACAAGTCGCTCGTCATCTCACATATTTACTAGACCTCAAATTAGCCCGCCAATCCTCGCTTCCGAAGGGGTGGGTTTATATACCTCATGAAACGTTTATGGAAGTCCGACCGAAGAAGATCCTAAAATCTGGTCAGCAGATGTAATAGTCACAGACGATGTCGGAAGAAGTCCTACGTTGACATATTCCTTCTTCTTTCCTCTTTCGTCTGTCCCGCGAGCTTGGTTCTTGAAGATCACATCGTCATCCCATCTATGTTTCTGATCAGTAGGTGTGCATAA